AATGAGGAGCGACTTTCGGGAGCGACAGCCAATGGGAAAGAAGATGATAGAGCTCATGTGATCGTTCTCCTCTCAGCGCCATAGATAAACATACGCAATGGAAGAAAGTAGGCTCTGTTTCTCATTCATTTTTGTTTGTATGTACGGATTTAATGTAGATTTAGATTATAGTTAGTCTTTTGCCTCCAAAATGTTTATACTTGGCGATGTCGCCAGATGACGTCATACGCTAATTAGCATATTCATGACGACAGTGCGTCATATTGTCTTGCCTCCCTGTGCTCACGTACTGCATTTAAATGCAGCCAAATTCTCAATAAAACTGTTTTTATTCATATATTTTACTGTTTCTGTTGTCAGACAACGAAATAAATATTATAGTGACTGAAATGCGGTCCATTAAGACTACATAACCAGCTCTCAAAGATTAATCTGCACTAAAATCCTAATCACGACATTGTCTAATGAAATCAAATACACATACGATTAAGACCATGGCTGTGCTTTGATTTCGCCTATACTTGCATGTAAAATAGAGTTAGAAGTAACAGAATATCTTTTTTTAACTGAAAGTGCTGCTCCTCTCTGCGCTCGCTGAACAGAGCAGACGATTTATCGCTTTATTTTGGGTTAAATTTGGGTTTTCTTTACCCTGGCAATTATCTTTGTTCTTTTTTGATGCTCTCTTATGTTGTATTTGTATTTGTTAATTAATTGGTTAATTTAAAAAAAGATAGCCTACTTCCGGTGTCATCTGCTTCCAGTTATTTTATTGTACAAAACAGTCTGTTATGCTGCTTGATATTGGAAACAGGTAGCCTATTTCTTATCATATTTATTGTTGTAATAATACATTTTGCAGCGCAAGTACTTTTACCATTTACTGCACTTTGTTATTCTAGTCCAGAGCTAGTCAACTCCGGTCCTGGAGGGCCAGTGATCTGCAGAGTTTACTTCCAACCCTTATCCAACACACCTGTTCATCATTTTTAAATAGGCTAGTCCTGAATTATACCCTGCGTTCCATTCGGAAGGGCTCATCCCTATGCCCTGATCCCTTCAAAGGGTTTACTATGAAGGTAGAATGACGTAATCGCGATTAATCGTTTGACAGCACTAATAAACATATATATTAACTATTTATTTATAACTATTTATTTTATATAAAAATAGAATATTATATAATTATATAGCCTATAGTAATACTACTAATAATAATAAAGCAAAATTTTGATAGATATGAAAAAAAATATTATATACACAAAATAAAAAATACTAGCTAAAATAAAAAATATAATACTAAAACAAGAAATAAAGAGAAAGAGAGATTATTAGTTACATAATTTTATTTATTAAAAATAATATATAAGATAGATGAATAGATAGCTATTTTAAATCAAAATAGATTATAGAATTATAGAATACTGACATTTTGTTGATAGATAATATTAAAACTAATTTAAAATATAAAAATAATGTATGTATTTATTTTATATTTATACAAATATAATATAATAGGGAAAAAATGAAAAAATATTTAAATATATTTATTAGTAAAACATAGTATAGTGTAGTATATCTAATATTTGTATAATATATAGCTATTTATTTTACATTATAAAAATATAATATAATACTAAAAGTAGAAAAGATGATGGATGGATGGATGGATGGATAGACAGACAGACATTTCAATACAAATCAGTTTTTTGTTTGTTTGTTTTTTCAGCTGGTCAGCCTGATTAGAAAAGTAACAGCAAACCTACTTTTAAAATTTGAGCTCTGATTCATGTGAGTTTCACGCCAAAGTCGAATACAGAGATAATGCAGCAGAGATAATGTTGAGGCTCGGGCTGACACTGCCCTCTGCTGGCCAGAGGAACACCCACACACACACACACACACACACACACACACACACACACACACACTCGGACTGATCAGCGTGTGGATTAATCTAACTCTCTAAAAGCCAGTATATCTCGCTTCATCCCTGCCAGCTTCATCAGAGTGACCAGCAGCAGTATTTAGCGCTGGGTTTGCTGTGTTTTCAGCATCAGTCTCTCGCTGCTGCTGCTTCAGTCTCACTGCCACAGATCTCCATTGACTGCAAACAGCATCGCCATGGCAACACGGACAGACTGCAATCCGCTGCCCTCATTAGAAAGAGCCTGAATAGATTTCACATCTCTGTTTTATATCTCCTTCATAACGAACACAGGTGTCAGGATGACATGACAACCCCAGCGGACAGGAGAATTCATACCTTCACAAATACAGTCAACTCAACTGTATTGACGCTTACGAAAAACATTATTCCCTTGTGCTCCATGACATAAATAACATTAATAATAAATAGATTATTCTGCAGTGCAAATGCATTATGCAGGTTATTTTTAAATTAGTTCATTATTATTTGATAAATATCATTATAACTGACTTTATTCTTTAGCATTAAATATTAAATGTTGTTACAAATGATCATTATTCCCTTTAAAGACATTACAGAAATTAATTTGTTAGTTATGCTCAGGTTGAAGTTCCAAAAAAGGTAACACACACACAATGAACGTAATTTAGAACCAAGTATATATTTGATAAACATATATTCATTTTTTATATATTTTAACATTGTTTCATACTTAGTTATATATACACACACACCCTCCTTTCTGCAGATGCACACCTACAGATGCACAAAATAGACACTGTTATTGAAATTTCACAGCACTAGACGTGGTTTGCTTTATCTGAGCAGAGAACAGTTAATACAAGCCATCCATCAGAGAGACAGGCTCAGGTATGAGTCTCCACTGACCGCAAAGCCTCAGAGTGTTACAAACGCCTCCCAGACCAACAGCCACGCTCAGGGACAAATGTGACGGGATGTGGAGTGACAATAGGTGATTCAGACATTTAGGTCACAGACTTCATAAAAGGTCAGAGGACTTGTAATGGATTCCACCTGACAAACCGTCCAGCTGTATAGATTTATAACAGAACAACAGCAATAATGCACTCTGGTTAAGCTGTGCCAAGAATGCAGAAGAAAACATGTTTATTAAAAATAAACGTCAAAAATATAACTAGGCAAGGGTGGTTGAGGAGTAACATGGTTGTTAATGGTTTTCAACACATGGGATTTCAGGTTATGATATGCATGTAAGGTTTATTTATTCTACTTTTTTTTTTGTTTTGTTTTTTTGTGCTGTTCCCTTGCAGTATTTCAGTGTACAAGTACAAATATTGTATTTGCAGCTTTTACCAAAGCTGAAGGTATAAAATATTTGTGCGTTTGTTATCTTGATAGCAATAAACATTACACATAAAAATTTAATACAATTTATTAAAAAGAAAAATGCAATAAAAGGGTTGCACTAAATGTGGGACACAATTAAATTGGTCATTTAAATTAGTTTAAAATGGTGTTTTACAACCAAGTATCAACTCGGCATATTTTCAAATTTATGACATATGTATGATTGTAATTCATTAAGATCAAGACCTCCAAGTCAATTTTAAAGGGGGTAATTAGCATTTAATACTAGCTACTTTTTATGCTACTTAATTTTATGTTAGATTGTAGTTCATATAACAAAAAATATGGATATTTTACCCTTTTAATGCATTAAATCGAGGTTCCTCATGCAGATCCAGGAGAGCAACTTTCCTGCTCTAATAAAACACACCTGCATCAGCTAATCAAGGTCTTTAGGTTTACTTGAAAATTACAGCCAGGTGTGCTGGAGCAAGACTGCAGGACCAAGTGTATGGAAGTGTATTATAATCTTGGAATTTTCAAATTTAAAAGAACCGTTTTAAATTTCAAAACTTTACATTTAAAAAATGTGAAAACATGGAATTTTAATAAATGTTAATAAACTATATTTAGATATATTAAATGCCGATGAAAAGTTAATACATCGTCATGCTTTTGTTCAAATCATAGATCATGTAAGACTGAAAGTGAGAAATGCTTGACATATTATCGTATTGCTATAACAGTACATTTATATTTATACTGACAGTGACAGTTCAGTTTTCCTATTACACAAGAACACAGCACTTATCAAAGGTGTTCCACAGTTACTAACAGCTCCTCACTGCACTCTATACAAACAGCTGACAGATCATATTTAAATATAGAATTCTTTATTCAGCTCTTGATTCCCAACAAGACAAACATTGTGACAGGAGTCATTTGTCATTTCTAGAATGTTGAGTTAAAGTGAAGACAGTGAAAGTATCTTTTAACATTCATACCACAGAGACTCTGTTCTTATAGACAGATACAGCTACACAGGGTTAGTCGAGATCGGAAACAAAGCTCGTGTTAATAACAGGCCACATTACAAGAAACAACTGACAATCTTGTGTGCAAGCTATGTCAAGCTTAAAGGAATAGTTCATTCAAAAATGATAAATTGCTGAAAATGTCATCACCCCCACGCCATCCAAGATGTACATGAGTTTGATTCTTCATGTGAACAGGTTTGAAAAAAAGGTAGCATTGCATCACTTGCTCAGCAATGGATCCTCTGCAGTGAATGGGTGCCGTCAGAATGAGAGTCTAAACAGCTGATAAAAGCATCACAAGTAATCCACACCACTCCAGTCCATCAGTTAACATCATGTGAAGAAACAAATACAAGATGTTTTAACTTCAAACCGCTGCTTCCAGCTAAAATACAAGTCCTCTATTCATATTGCTTTGTTGAGTTGTCTAAAAAATGCACAGATCAAGCAACATTTACAAGCAAAAACAGTTCAAAACAAATATGTGGGTGGATTTTGATGCGAGAGGACAAAAGGAGATGGACTTTATCACTGGAGGAAGCGTTATTATGGATTACGGACTAGTATTTTGGACAGAAGTGACCGTTTAAAGTTAAAACGTCTTAATGATGGATTTGTTTTTTTACAAACATGCAGCTTTTCACTTCAGAAGATGTTAACTGATGGACTGGAGTGACGTGGATTATTGTGATGCTTTTATCAGCTGTTTGGACTCTCATTCTGACGGCACCCATTCACTGCTGAGGATCCACTGGTGAACATGTGATGAAATGCTGAATTTCTGCACATCTGTTCACATGAAGAAACAACCTGAGGGTGAGTACATTTTCAGCAAATTTTCATTTTTGGGTGAACCATTCCTTTAAAAAAAAGTGACCATAGAAATGTTTGGAGTGATTTAAGGTTTAGCTTTTATGAAATGTTCTGAAATTACAAAAAAGTCCAAGTAATGCTAATGAAACCCTTGAATAAGACAGCATATTATATATCCTCATTGCCCATTTGCGAACGAACATACAGTATTCAATGATAACATATTATATACCAGCTAATATGTTGGCAAAGCATGTTTAACAACCAGTATCTAGTTAACAAACCTAGCGAAATCCTCCTCAATATCTGAATCCAAAGACTCAATTCATTCATTCCTCTAAAAATATAAACTCCCATTTTCATATTCATACTTGTTTTGATTTTTTTAGCATTCTGAAGATTTCATTCTTGCGTATATTGAATACATAGATATCAGAAACAGTCAGAAAGCATCCAGTGTTGTAATGGGATGCAGCGTGTTTGGATGCTCTTGAAGCTGCTGTGTAAATCCAGCACCCTCATTTCATCCAAATCAGTTCAAAGCAATTAGCACCACTGCAGAAAACATCGGCTCGCCATCATCGCAGAGATTTGCACTGTAAATGCCAGGAAGCAACACATCTGCCAGTCCTGTGAATTTGATTGTAATGTTAACAATGTTTGAGAGCATTTGGTTTATTAAAAGCCTTAAAGGAGAGGAAGCCGAGCCGGTCCTGACTGACTGCTGGCCTCAGTGGCAGCCGCAGTGGAAGTCTGCGCTGGGGTCGAAGAGCAGCGAGTCTCGGTTGTGGTTGTGCGGTAAGCAGTCGAGGTGATACCAGGCGTCGCAGTCGTCACACTGGATCCACTGCACAGTGTCCTGCTGCGGGAGACGACAGTGAGCCGCTGCGCAGGGCTCCACGCCCTGAGCCACCGCCACCTCTTCATCTTCAGAGGATGACGATGACGAGGAGGAGGAAGAGGTGGAGCTAGAAGAGGATGATGAAGAGGGAGACAGCAGGGAAGGCTGTGGCAGCGGGTGTTTTCTAGGCCTTCCACGTCGACGCCTGCAGAGAAAAATCAGTAAAATCATGCATTACTAAATGCAATTAAATCAAAATATACTACTGATTAGAAATTTGAATGACTTTATATTTATAAATTATATTTTCATACTTTTTAAAATGATAATATAATTGTTTTTAGATTTTTGTTCTTTAAGAAAAAAGATTTTTTATTAATTTCCATATATTATTCAGGCTTGGAAGTAAAAGCGATTTTATTTTTATAAATCTAATTAATGCATAAAACATACTTCTGAATAGTCATTTCAATGACTTCATTTTTAAATTTTTTTTTTTTTTTTTTAGAATATCTTTATTTTAGAATAATGATTTTATTAATTTTCATAAATTGTCCAGGCTTAGAAATCACAAATTCCCTGATATTAATTACAAAATATATTCTTCTTATAAGTGTTACCGACTTTAAATTTTATATAAATATATTTTTTTTAATTAATATTATTTAATGTTTATTGTAGAATTCCCTGAAATTCCCCGATATTTTATATTAATACAATTAATTATAAAAATATACTCAATATTAGAAATATGAATGACTTTAAATGTCATAATATAGTACATATAATATAGAATAAAATGTTATCCCTCTACAAATAATCTTTATTGTAGAACAAAGATTTGATTAATTTCCATACATCTTAAAATATATTCACTATTATGAATATGAATGACTTTAATGTTATATTTTTATTTCTTGTTTTTAGATACATTTTCATTTTTCTATAAAATAAAGGTTTTATTCATTTCAACATATTTTTCAGGACTTGAAATTACAAATTCCCTGATATTTCATTTTAATAAATGGAATAATGAATTTGAAAAAATATACTATCACAAATATATTTCGTTTTATAATATTTATAATATAATAAAGATTTTAGAATAAAGATTTAGTATTAATAATATCTATACATTTTCCAGGCCTGGAAATCACAAATTCCATAATATTTCATATTAATAAATAAAATGAATTGGATACTCACTATTAGAAATATTAATGCCCAATATATTTCTTTAGTTTATTTTAGAATAGACATGTGGGCCTCAGAATAACAAAATCCTGTTTTTTCTCCAGGTTCTTCGTGCCTGTGAGAATCCTATATGTAAGTATCAAGTATCACTCACCCAGTTGAGGCCTGAAAGCGAGAAATCACTCCCCTGGTTTTCTCGGTCTTGCTCATCCTCGCTGACGGGGAGGTCAGGTTGTAATTCTCACTTCCCATCCCGAGGGTGGTGAATACGGGGGAGCTGATTGCCCTCGGCCTCCTGCCAGGACCAGACAAGCAGGGCTTCTGCTGGCGGAGGGGCGTCACATTGATGCCGTTGCCTTTGGTGTGACTCGATATGTTCACGATATGATTGAACTGCCGGCTGGGCGGCACATTGAAAATGCTGCTGCTGGTGTGTTTGTTCACGTCAATCTGTGACCGGCAGTTCTGCTCCAGTTTGGGTAGAGGGGGCTGAAACACCTCCGACTCTGATTTGTAAAGCCGGCGTCTTTTCTTGGCTTGTCCCCTGCGTCCATCCTCCAGGTCTCTGCGGTTCGTGGGATCGTCCGAACTGTCGTCCTCCAGCAGAACCGTGTGGGCGGACTTGCGTCGGCTCTTTGAGGACAGCGGGACAGACTTGGATGAAATCTCACCAGCGGCCTGGAAAGGAGGCGGAGTCGTGGGCGGAGCCAGAGCGGAGAACGCTGACGTGTTTAAGGTGCTTGTGTTTTCGCTCTTCTTGAAGGTCCAGCAGCTGCCGTTCATCTTGCTCAGGCTGCCGATGGAGTTGAGGATGACCGTGGCTCTGTTGATGGACAGCTTTGAGATGTCCAGAGCTGGGTCCGATTTATGGTCCGAGCACGTTCTGATCCGGTTCTTTATGTCGGATGAGAAGGAACCCGCTTTGGGCACAGTGATGGCGTCAAAGTCCAGCGGACGAACCTGTACTTTCTGGAAGAGGAAGTAGAACTCTGGACTAGCCCGTCCTGATTGGCCGCCGATGGTGAGCGTGTCGCCATCAAAGATTTCCTTTAAGACCCCTTGTTGGAGGCGCATGTCATTTACCCACGTGCCTGAGGAAAAAAAGAGAAACTTTTAGAAGAGATTTTATATTCTACATTGGGTCTCATAATAAAGAATGCAACCGTATCGGACATGTTCACATAAAAATACTATTTAGGCTATAGAGTTAAAGCAAAATATACTTAAAAAAATTATAAATTCAGCAAGATTATATTAAATATTGCATTTGAATTTCATATATATATTATATATATAATGGTTTAATATATATATAAAAAACATTAACATGAATATAATAAATTAATGTATAATATATATATATGTGCAACACACACCATAACTGCTGCGATCCTTCACTTGCACTTTCCAGCTCTCTTCTCCAGAGGCATCAGTTTCTCTTTCCACATGGAGCTCTGCATGGACACGGGACACGATCATGGACTCCAGAGTGACGTCACACTGCTCCGTGGCCCGTCCCAAACGAAACACACACTGGGCCAGTGCAGGCCGGAAAGTGTACAGGTCACGGACGGAGTCTGACGACGCATTTCCCTGAGCGTTACTACTGTTTGTGTCAGACAATCCAATCCTCAACAACTGAAAACACGGCTGGACTCCAGACGACATTTTGACATCCCACAAACAACTGTGCAGGAAAAACCGCAACACAGCCGGCAAACAGCAGCTCTCACATAACACTGAGATAAACGTCCTCCACTGAAGATCCTCCTCTCAGAAAGACTTTCAAATATGACTCTTATAAAAGCTTATTACGCCCAGTAAATAAAATACGGCATGCTAAAAAATTAAAATATTTAGAGGACAAACTAAAAGGCTGCAGCACAGGTGGATGAAATATTAAAAGTGGATATGTAGTGGCCAGATGCTCAATTGCTGGTCTTCATTCTGTAAAACAGAACAATACAGGGCTTTAGCGGCATTACCAATATTAATGTTTTTATTGCAATTTATTTTATTCATTATAAATTATTATATAAGTGCATACTACAGTATAACATATCACTATATTAAACAGTTTTATATTTAAATATTATGCATTACTCTTTAATACAAAATATAATAAAAGACAGACATGTAAGAAATATTTTAATATATTAAGTACGTTATATATATTTATATATACACACACATACACAAAGAGTTGGTGTACATACACACAAACGTGTTACTTTGCTCCAACAACACATGCATTTCTATACATTGACATTTAATAGCATGCCCAAATATCAAAGTTAGACAGTTGTGCATCGTCTATCTATGCACTACCAACGCCTCTATGATTCTCTGATTTACTCTATGCATTGTGACCTAGACTTCCTTCCGAAACTATACATGATATACAAATGCTAGCTTAGAAACAGTGGCAAAGCAGCTTCAAAAAAGTGCAAAGCATTTAGAAGAAGCAGTCATTTGTTTGTCCTCGATATTTCGCCCGTCGCTAAAGGAAATGTTAGGCTTGTGTAAGTCAGGCAGAGCAGTGGTCGCTGGTGCATAGAAACACATTCAAACAAAGCGAGCCGAAAACAGCTACTTTACAAACGCAACCATTTCATTTCGTCGAACATTTCGATGATAAAGCACTTACAAAAACATGACATACCCAAAATATGAAGGTATATGTTTTGTAAAACGCTACGCGAGTCTTTTATTTGTGCTCCGTGGTAAATCTTATCGCCTCCTCTCTCCAGGAAGTGCTTTGAAATTTGGCGCGCCAGGAGCAGGACGAGTTTCCTTGCGCGAAAATCAACGCCACTTCCGTTCACGTTGTCAAGGAGACCGTCAATGGAGAATGACATTGCAAACAGTATGTAACCATATTCTCTTTTTTCACATAATCATTGCGTTTATTTAATAACCGAAACACGGTGTAATTATTAAATGTAATTTATATAAAATAAAAAATTTACATATGATTACATATTATTCACATGGCATTCAATTATTCATAATTTAGTTCCTCTTTTAAAAATGCTACTGTGTGTCATACCATTCAGCTTTGATTATATTCCCAAAAACAGACATATTTTCTTTCCCTTTGATTTTTGATTTTTTTTTATATCAGTATGGTACGTCTAATGGTAAGTTAAAAACATTCCATAAAAAGTGATCTACAAAGTATTCAGAATACATTACCTAAAATGAGTAACCTATAGATTGTTCAATTATGTTAATAACTACAGTTTTCAACATGTAATCTGTAATCAGTAATGGACTACAATTTGTACTCACTTGTATGTTGTTGATGTCTTGTTATATCTGTGAAGTTTTTATGTGTTTAGCATTCAATAAATTAGGCTAGTATACATTAATATTATCAAAATGATTCATATGGTTCAAAGAATTTCTGAATAGTAGTAAATATGCATTGAGAAACAAAAAGACAAGAACACCAACCATGGGACTTTTAAAGTCAACGTTTTATTTTCATCTTTCATTCAAGAGAGCAAATCAAAGTTGAATTAAAGCTGTGCTTGAAGTCAAACTATGAAGCCACATGTAATACTAAATTAACAAAGCAGCTAAAAACAAGATCCTCTGCACCATACTTTGTACGTGACTGTGAAGTATTGTTAATATTCATTGTTTTATCTGGCAAATACAGCTGTGAGAGATGCTAGTCTGAACGAGGAAAAACACCGTAATGTTACAAAGCTTGTTCACAATCACAGCTTTTCAAAGATGAATGAAGCACGTCGACAAAGCTGTCTCCTGAGAAATCTTGCATGTAAGCTGACAAAAGATCAGTTGAACAATGAACAATGAAGAAAGCACACACTCCTGAGCTCGATTAATTATGTGATGCCAGCATCTGTGTAAACCGCTGATCAAACCTGAGCAGGATGGACTTGTATTGCTACGGTTCCTGTACCACCGAAAAACATCTTTTTAGTCACTTTTCAGTGTGATATGTGCATTGTCTTATGCAGAATTATGATTTATCCAGCTCAGACTACTCAGGGTAAAGTTCACTTCACCAAACGCAAATGCAAATTTCAACACATTTAAGAGCAATAAACGTTGTAAATCTGAATCACACTGAACTTTGAGGGGTGAACACATTTGTTCAAGTATAATCAAGCTAAAACTGTACATGCAACAGAAAAATGATATCCATTTCTTTTGAAAGACCAGTTTTGATTTTATTGTGCTCAGTTACGCCTGAGGATTGGAAATGTGCGCACCACTCAAAAACAGTTTTCTGTTCACGATTGTCAAATCATAAATTTGACATCCTTTTTTCTTTTTGCCAAAATAAACCAGATCCGAAAACATTTCCATATTAGCTGCGCTGCTAAAATAACACTGACATTAAGAATACTTCTCATCAGAGACAAAGTAACGCAATGCAATCTCATTGTTGACAGGCAGCCTCTAGTTCAGCATGCTTTTGTAGCCTAATGCTTTTAGTTGCGTATATAGTAGATCTACGACATCAGCGCATATATAAAGAGAGTATACTTAATAAATAGCAATAATATAGTGTCAGTGAAATATTTCTCGAGTTTTGCATTATCAAAATCATTCTCAAGTGCAAAGATTCAGTTAAAGCATGACAGTGCGAAAGCAGGGTTTCTGCAGGTTTCATGAAGGTAAATTTAAGACTATAAATGTAAGACCAAGTAAAGAATATGTAAGGAATAAACTGAAGGGAATTCATCAGTATGTTCTCTAAAGTCCAGCACGCTTTCAATGAGTTGTATTAGCATCACTTCAAAGTTTGAAAATACAACAGATTATTACTTTTTTGGAAATAACTTACTTTCAAACTGTAAAAAAATGCTGTCCTTTTTTTTTCAGTGCAGATGTGTAAAGAGTCATATATCAAGATATGTTTACTTGAGATGCAGATGACATAAGGTAAGTCTTGTTTTCTGAGATAATGGTCAAAATGAAGTGAGTTTGTGATTAAAACAAAACAAACATCTGACAATGTTGTCAGAAAAATTCACTTAATTCAAAGGAAAAACAAGTTTCCATATCCCACTGACATATTTGTTCTTGTTTAAAGCATAAACTCACTTCATTTTGTTTAATCCCTTAAAAAACAAGGCTTCATATATTTTTTTTTCAATCTCAAATAAATGTACCATGACTTAATTTTTTTTTTTTTATATTTGAGCTGGAATACAAGACAAAAATACTGAGGAAGATATTATTTATTTTGCAGTGTATGCAATCTTTAATGCCACGACTTTATGAATTTAAGATTTCACCACAGATTTAAGGCTTTTTAATTTGTGGAAAAGAAAATTCAAACCCCTTTTTATGACCTGCAGAAACCCTGTAAAGGTTTCTTGTTTATTATGTCATTCATTTCATTAGAAGCTGTGTCTTATTTGAAGAAAAATGCATGAGAATCCAGCAATCATTGGATAGTATTGATCATTAACATGCAATTAATCTATGTACAGAAGTGTGTGTGTATGTCTGTTGCACCTACCCTGTGTGTGTGTGTGTGTGTGTGTGTGTGTGTGTGTGTGTGTGTGTG